TACTGGACCACCCACATCAAAACTTATCTTATTCATTCGGCAACACATGCTTATAAAACATACTGGACCACCCACATCTAAATCTATCTCATTCATTTGGCAACACATGCTTATACAATCTTTGTGGGGTCAAGATTTGATTTATGGTGCCTTATGACCACCCTTCAAACCACTTTGAAGGATGGACCCCTGACCCAATACCATTGAACCCTCCAAAAAGAATAACTTTAATCCAAAGGCACTTTCCTAATTCAGGTCCCTCTATATATATATATATATACTATATAATATATATGGTATACAGTATACACACACCACCGCATTCACTCTCACCCTACCAAACCTAACTCTCTCTCTCTAGTCATTGCTTTACTGCTTCAGTAAATCTTTTCTTTTGAGAGGTTAATCTGCTTAGAAGAGAAAGGTATATATATATGTGGCAGTCAAAGGGAGGGAAATTATGAATGGATTGAGTTCATCAGAAAAGTTTTCTGGCCGTCCGATGCCGAAGAGGGGTCAAGTGAAGGCCGGTATAGTTTTGGGTTTGGCTCACTCTGTGGCTGCTGTCTTCTCTCTCAGAAGTCGTTCTGCAGCTGCTCAGTTTTGGTCATTTTTGGAGAGAGAATAAGATGTTTTTGTCTCTGCGTGTGTGTGTTTGAATTGAACCCAACGATCATTGTATCTAAGAGTGGTGGGTATATTGAGAACCGTTTGCATATGAAGTGAGACTCTTTTCTTTTGCTTCTTATGTCTATTGTTGCTGGTGTCTTCTTCTTCCTCTCTCTCTCTCTCACACACACACACATACTGTGCATACAGTGCTGAAGTGAAGTCAAGTGTACCTATCCATCGGCCCAAAAGAAAGCCCAAGCCCTTGTTCATCGGACTAATAAGGTCACCGTGTAGCAATATTGTCTGGGCCACGGGCTGAATACCGCGGCTTGATTCAGCCATATCCGAAAAGACAATGGTTGGACTTGTTAAAGCTCCACAACCTGCAATTAATGGCTCAAAAGTTGTTGTGGCGATGAATGTCACAATTACACAGACTTGAAAATTTCACTTTATCGTTGATGGATCTCAATATTTATTAGAACTCAGCTTCTTATGAGTCATTAAGTCTACAAATCTATTAATTCTTTAAGTACAAATATCAATTTCTTTATTTATTGACTTCATAAGAGTTGCAGATCAAGTTTCTGGAACATTTAATGAGGTTGACCAAGCTAACATCATCTTCTAATAATTAAAGGATTGACTATGGTACTATGGGTTTGAAAGGGTTACTTACGGAGATTATAATTTTTAACACGATCTGTCAATTTAATTTAAAATAATTGAATAGATTAGGATCATAATTAGATTGACCTTTCGAGCCTTCCTTCATTAATGAATTTGATATGAACTCAACTATAAACAAATATAAATTGATCAAGAGTTAAGTAATTTTTGACACGATACAATCTAATCACAATACGACACATATTGCTAACGGTGATTCAAACATGTACCCCCAACCACATATTCAACGTTCTTCTTAATTGCTTGGAGAAAAACGGACAACTTTGACTTAAATGAATCTACACATTTATTAGCAAGTAGGGTTTCTTCTCTCCATCTGGTACAAAATAGCTGTGTTCATATCAATTTGTACACCAACTTCATGAGAATAAATGCCAATGCAAGTGTTCAACTGTCAATATTTTAATGAAAATATGAATAGACCCCATATGCCTGAATTTAATGCCAATTTTGGACAGTGGTCGGCCCTCCCCTTTTTTTAATGCATGTGGTGTGTTTTGTCTGACTGAATTTTAGGGGTGTCAATTTAACCCAACAACGTGATTCTAAAATTAACACGATTAATAAATATGTATAATAAGTAAACTGGATTAATGTTTAACACTTATAATATATTGAATAATTTATCATTATTATTTTTTATGAATATTAATAAAAACACGACACAAAAATAACACGACACAAATCGACTTCTTTGGTGGTGTGGTAGCAGGCTAAAACTATATACAAACTTGTAATGCTTTACGGGGAGAGAGATAACTAGAGGGTGGAGAAAACTGGCCTCAAAATGGCCCTCCAAGAGAGGTAGAGGAAATAGTGGGCTAGCCCTAGAGGTTGTGACAATCCCTTCTAGGGCCCTATCTCACTGTTAAAGTTTATCAATCGGATTTCAATCGATTTAAATTTGAATGCGATTAGAAAACTCGATTCTGAATCTATACATGTATTATATTTAAAGTTGTACATATGTTGTTTTTTTTTTGTATATATATTGTGTGGATTTTACATTTATCCTCAATATCCGAATTCCCTAAAAGAAAAAACAAAAACAAATCAATTTAGATGGCTCTCTACTTATTACTCAGTATAATTATGTAGATTAAATTAAGCTTTTATAAACTATGTATGATTGATGAATTTTTTTTTTTTCATTTTGATACCGATCAATCTTCTGTCCTAGCTCTGTACCAGCCTCCTCTATCTCCACCTCACCATCACCCCGGCTGCCATGTTACCACAACCACTGCCGCCACCACAGTAATCACCCCACCTCCCACAACCACTAATACAATCTCCACTCCACCACCCCAATGTCATTGTCACGGTTATGTACTCTTGAACTATGACCTTATCATTTTTATCCCCACCCCTACTACTACCACCGTTTACCGTACTATAACTAATTCATAAAATATGACAAACTAATTTAGATTTAGATTATCAGTTAATAGTAAAAATGCATCCAATCAATTTCACTTGGGTCTAATTAGAATTGACATCTGAACCATTAACAAACCTAGCTAGGGCGGAGCCATGCTTGGGTTAGGGTGGGCACATGCCCCCCTCAATTTTTTTCGCTTCATATTAAGCATATATTTTTTGAAATAAAATTTAGATATATTTAATTATGTTCACTCTAATATTATGTCTGGTGATATTAATTTAAATAAATCTCTACTTAAATGATTGTTAACTTTTTAAACGACGTTATTAAAACATAATTTAAAGACATAATATATTGTGATATTAAATATAATAATAAGTTTTAATATTTAATAAACTCTACTATCTATCCAATGGTCACAAACTATAGGGTCTTCATCAATTATATCTCAAATTAAGTACAACTAATATAATTGTTAACTTTTAGGCATGCTCGAATATGTTTTAAACATATTGATGTTAATTATAGTTTTTTAAAATTGTAGGGTTATTTCATTGTTGTATAAAAATGTGTCTCGTGATATAGTAAACTATAGGATCATAAATAGAAGATTGTTACCGTGATTTTCTATATGAAAAAAATATTGTTGATTAAATTAATTTGTAACTCTTTCGAATAACGAAAACATACTAGGGTCAATTGTAAATAATAATAATTAGTCGCATTCTCGATAAAAAATTTTAATTATTATTTTTTTATTCTTGTTAATCTTCTATGTTTAAAAAGTATTAAATATAATTTTAATAAATATAAATTTATGAACCACTACAGTATGTTAAAAAAAAATTAAAATATACTAGTGTGTCAACTCTAAAATTTGTTTCTGCCTCCGCCCTGAACCCCGTAATGCTTTACTGCTCAGTAACATAATTTGTTAGCTCGCCAAAGGGGCCAAACTTTTCTCTTGAAGAGTGTAATACAATTCATATTATCATTATTGTCAATACAATCCATAAGGTCCAATATTATTTTTTTTTCAATTTTTCCAAAGTCCAAAATTTTATGCAAGTAAACCTTCCTACTGGCTATCCACACTTTGAACACACTTCTTCTAGCCTATATGTCTCTTATATTTTTCGAGGAAGGTTATTTGGGTTGTCCATCTATTTTTTTGTTGTCCTAATGAATTATTGTCTTTGGATTGAAAATAAATTCAAATATCGACTGCGATTCACTATTAATTCAAGAGTGATGTCATTGAAATCTAAAAAATTGATATAATTAGTTGATCTAATAATATGACAATAATGTGATTTAATAGAATTATTGTGAGGCCCACAAAAATTCATAACCATCGAGATATATAAGACCATTTCTAATGCATACTTAACCCCTTACCCAAATTTGAATAAAAAATGGTAAAAAATTTGATTTGATATAAACTTCTTCAACGAAAAACCCAAATTTAAAGGAAGAGAAATTCAAATTTAAATGAGGACAAATCTAAATTTAAAAGAGGGTAAATTTGACTTGTTAAATTTTTAAATGATGGTATAATCTCACTATTGGTAAAAAGGATAAAGATTTGAGTCTCCTTTAATTTTAATTTAAAAAATAATTTTCCTTCATTTAGTATGATATTGATCTCGGTCCAACATAGGTGAAAGTTTTTAAGAGTTTTTTACCCTTTTTAAAAAATGGTATAAAAAGGGACAAATGCCGGAGATATTCTATACGGAGCAATGGTACTTGGACTTTAATAGTTGAGACTATTTATTGACCTCATGAATCATTGTCATCGATTTAAATGTGATTTTTAGTATTTTTTAGAATCTATTTCCTGTTCAATGACTATGAGTACAGGTGGTAAATGGGTGGATTAGGTTGATTATGGGTTGGATTAAATTAAATTGGATTAAAATAAATCAAATTCATTTTTTACTCACATAATAAATGGATTAGATTTATAACGGGTTAGATTAAACACGTTAACCCATAAATCACACACGCACAACGACAACAAAATAAACACACACACTATTACATCAAAATACATACACATATAATTTTACACCAAAATACACACTATAAGTGATAGAATTAGAAACTAGTGTCAATTTTCAGAGGCAAAATAACATTTTTGTATAATACATAATCACCGAAAGGAGGTGGGCTCCGCACGCACTCGTTGTACATATCCATCCACTACGAACCTCTGCTACTTTTTTAAGTCTGTGCACTGTGCAGTTATTGCACCCAACCTAACCCTACCTCTCATGCAAACCCCCTCAACTGCCATCTACTTCTCTCTCTCTCTCTCTCTCTCTCTCTCTCTCTTAATTGCTTCTCCCACCGCGTCCCTCTAACCAGTACTTAAGTATTCTCCTCACACTCTTTCTGACCTCAACATCACTCTCTACAACCTCTCGATCTCTCCAAAATGAAGACCTTAACACTTTTCCTCTTAGCTTTCTTGCTCACCGCAGCCTCTCTCTCCTTTGCCACCCGACCCGAACCAACCGGGTCCTCCCAAAACCAGCCAAAGGCCTCCAAAGACAAAGGCCAAAGCAGCAACGGAGGCGGCGGCAGCAACAAAGGTGGTGGAAATGATGGTGGTGGGATGGGTGGGTTCTTCGGGCCAGGTGGCGGGTTTGACATACCCGGATTGGGAAATGGAAACGGGTGGGGTAACGGAATTGGTGGCGGGTATGGAGGTGGATATGGGGGTCCGAGTGGAGGGTACTCCAAAGGTGGTGTGGTAAGGCCTACTGTGGTGTGTAAAGAAAAGGGTCCATGTTACAAGAAGAAGCTGACGTGTCCGGCCAAGTGCTTCACTTCTTATAGCCGTTCCGGGAAGGGCTACGGCGGCGGCGGCGGCGGTGGTGGTTGCACCATTGACTGCAAGAAGAAATGTGTTGCTTACTGTTGAATTGAGCTCTGAGCTTGTAGCTTGTTGTAGTTTCTTATATATGTATTATATATGTATGGCCTGTGATGGTTTGGTTGTTTGGCAAAGTTAATGTAAACTTAAGTAGTAATTATGATGCTTGTTGTTAAGGTTTTTCTCTAAGCATTTAGTGCTTTTATCCTATATATATCCTCATGGGATTTAAATAAATTGGAAATTGTCTGAGAGAATTGTTGTCCTTGTGATGTTTATTTAGGGTTAGTATTGTGATAACAAAAACGAGTTAAAAATTGAGATATCATGAGTTTAAATATTTATAATTTTTTGTGATCTTGATATTTCTTTGAGGATAGGTATTTATCTCTCATAAATATTTTAATTTCGGTGTGAATAATTTAATTTTAACAGATTGAGAAAAAGATTAGTTAAAATACGATTAAACTGGTTCGGACACTTATGACTGTTAAATAAAAAAAAAGACTACAATTCAGAAAGAGGTATTAACACGATATTTGAAGATAAATTTTGTAATCCATAGTGAAAAAAATTGAATATGCAGGTTTATTTCATAAGTGAACCGTGTGGGTTGCTGCTCAAAAAAAAAAACCATCACGGGTTGATCCGATAGTCTTGCCTATAAAAAAGTATTAAGACCTTGTCGTAATCATCCACATGACACGTTATCCAGATGATCCACCATGCCATTCATTCATCCACCACTATGCGCAATAAGAAACCAGTTTGGGTTTTGATCATTGAAATTTGATGGTTATGGACTTCCAAATCCTATTTTTTAAAAATTGTGCTCTCGCCCCCACTCTATATCATCTCATAGATTCGAATCTTGAGAGTTAATTTTCGCTGCATAAGAATAAAATTATCTATAACTTACGTCTCCCACGTCCTGTTATTATCAACGCTCTTTTGTGTCGGAACGTTTAAAAGTAAAGCCACGAGGGTCATAAACTGTACCAAATCAAACTTGGAACATAGAATTTATGGTCTCTAACGATGAAACCGAAATGAATCTCAGGCAAATCAACATGTCAACAACACCGATTTACAGACAATCAGTACCTAAATACAGCAGATATACTTCTATTTAGTTTCTATTGAACAGCTGTTCCCTCGATGTGTTCTGATTAAACCATGGTAAACAACATACATATGACAAAGAATGAACACACAAAATATGTATCGAAAGTACCCATCTCAAGAAAACAGTTTCTATACGCTCACTCTCACTCTTCGTTGCCTGAAGCACACCAAACCCAACCACTCAATGGCTTTGTTCAGTCAGGACAGCGTCATATTGCCGCTCTCAAGGCTCCTCTTGCAGCCTCGCGCTTCATCTCTGCAGCTTTGCCACTGCCTCGGAAGTACATGTATACTTGCTGCAAAATGGGAGATGAACAAAGTGAACAGACCAAAAGAGTGAGAGGCCATGGTGCCTGCAGCAATTTTTCACAGTTCTTGAAGTATAGGAATCAGATTGAGTTAAAATTTAGACCTGAATAACCCAGACGCTGAGCACTGACTCGAGACAGAACATGCCGAATCCAATGAAGTAGAAGATCTAAGCAATAGGAAAATCAATTAGCATGGTTACAAGGAAAATTATGGTGCTTAATGTGCATTGTGGTCTAGTGATTATAAACTCCCATTCCTCAACATTGCGCATAAATAAGATAAAAAAATTAATAGATTCCAATACCCTATTTATCTCAACTGATAGCATCCATATCACCCTCTAATAAACCCTAATAAACTAGGCTGCTATAACTTCAACATCAACCAAATAGATAGCAAAATAATGTGGGCATATACAAATATACATGCCCCCCCCACCCCAAAAAAAAAAAACATGGGCAACAGGGATCAAACTTACCCCAACTAATGCTTTGCCGCTGATTAGATCTACTGCAGGCAGTATACCGCTGTTAAAAAGGACCACGCAAAGCCAAATCATTAGCAGGGTATAAATGCACTTGTATTGCAGATATATTTCAAGAAGATTCAAAGCTCAAGAACATGCTACAAGACGTGGAGAAATTAAAGCCAACAAAATCCATCTCTGATGAATAACTGCCTCAAAATAATTGGAATAGAGAGGGAAGTCTAATAAGCTAACAAGGAAATTAATACTCAGACATTTTCCAGGTTGGATTACTTATTTACAACAGTGCAACTGTAAGAAAGGAGCTCACGTGAGAGATTTTCCTTTGAAAACTATAGGAGGAGCAACCGCAGCAAAAATGCAGAAGCCAATGTGAAGCTGTGGGCAAGGGGAAAGAAATGAAGAATCAGCTATGATTGTTTAAATAGATCCCAGAAAATCGAGAATATGGAAACTTACCAAGTAAAACAGGAAAAACCACCCAAATTTTATTTTATAGCACTCTCAGACCTGTACAAACATAGTGATGTTAACAAAATAAAAATTTGTTGGGCACAGCAACCAAACTCAAGGCATAAACACAGTGACAGAACCACATGATGGCCTCTTGTCAAGGTGATCTATAAAATACATGACTCAAATCTCACTATGATGACAATCAGATAAGTAGAAATGTTCAGAATTCATCCAGATAACTTCAATGACAGTACATGACATTCCAGTCATACAAGAAAACTAATCCCGTGTCTTCAGCCAGAGTCGTCAAGATAAGGTTTCACCCAGACCATTCAATTAAATTAACATCATGGAGACCATCCGGGATCTTAACACATGCTCCATATGATTCAGAATACATCTGCTTAACAATCCATGGACAAATCGATTGCAAATAAATATATCTACCTGAATGCCCGATATAGTGGACGATACCACAACACATAGGCTCCTGGAACCCCCGCAATGAAGTAGATGATAGCAAGGAACCAGATTTTTGGGTCTACAGAAAAGACAATCTTCAGAGGACTTCAAAGCCAACAGTGAAAGACATAAACAGAAATGGCATATAGATAAATCATAAATTATTCCAAACAAACCTCCTCCTTTAATCCATGCTGCGGTAGTGGCTATAATATTCCAGAGAAGACACCCAAACAATCCTGCTCAATATCAGCATTTATATACTCTTAGTGGAGTTGATCTTCAGAGGCTTACATGG